TAATGATCGTTTGGATTGATTTCCGAACAATCACATGATCATCCGGAGCACAACCTGGTACACATTTTCGATTTGCTTTTTTTTCGGCAATACCTTTTTTAACCGGAATTCAGCAACTTTAGCCGGAAATATTAATTTAGTATAATAATTTATTAACCTATTATATAGTAATTAAATGTTTTCGATAAAATTTCGTTGAATTGTTTAATGCAAGCAAATGACAAACATTGTATATTTAATATATTAAACTATGCTATCAATTTACATGGTTCTGTTTTTTTTACTATACCACTCATAATATATTGTGTCCCAATTCATTTCTTTACTTTCTTTTCCCTCTAATGAAACTCACATAAATATATCTAAAGTAGATGTAGTTAAAGAAGTGCGCAAGCGGGTTTTAATTATATTTTGTTTGGAAAACACACGTTCACAATCTATACTTGAAAAAGGAATACTATTAGCAATATGAATTAGTTTGATTATATTAGGAAAAATTTCACAATAATCACAAATTAGAACAGGAAGTAATTGTTGTGATGAAAATGATAAAAAATTTGAAATAACTATATTTTTAAACCCAGGCCACTCTAATTTACAAGAACTTGAATTTATTAATGGTAAAAATTTTTGTCCATTTAATAGTTTTGCTTGTTCCATAATGATTCAATAAGACTTGTAGTTTCTCATAACCAAAATTTAATAATACTTTTTTGTCTGGCCATTCTACAGGGTTCAAAATTTTCATTGCTGCAAGTAAAGGTTGGTCTGGAAAATGTTCCTTAATTTGTATAATAATTATACTTGCATATTCATATATGTCTTGTAAAAGATCATCATAATCACAGCTATTATATACATGCAAGTGGATAAAATAATCTATATTAGATTGTTCATTGAATAGGTTCATATGATCAAAAAAAAGCTGAAGATGATAACCCAAATAGAAGCTTTGATTATCCAAATTTTCAATAATATAGTCTTTTTGAATACTTGTAATAATAGCATCAATCATAGGAATAATATCATGAAAATAAAGATTTTGTTTTTGAAAAAATTTATTCAACAGTGCTAATTGTCCAAGAACATCATAAATAAAATGAAAAAAGCCCAGTAATTGCCAATTACATAATCATTAATATAAATTTTTAGCAATATTACTACAGTACCGAACAGCAAGAAACATCCACTTTTTATATATAAATATAAAAATGCTTATAACTTACAAACAAATAAATTTAAAAAAATCTGTCTTACAGATTTGTTGCTTTTAGTCTAAGCTACAATTCTGTTAGAATAGAATTTTATTTTTATTATAAATTTAAAAAGTTATTAGAGCCTAAAGTTACTATGTAATCAAAAATTTGGCATTTTTATATAAAAAAAATTGTTTTTATAGATTTTTAACCAATCAGAATCTTGTTACACGAAAAATAGCCAATCAGATTTGAGTAGAAATCTCAAAATTTGGTGCTTTTTAAAAAAAAATTGATGTTTCTTGCTGTCCAGTACTGTATGATCATCACGAAGTTGTAAAAGAGCAGCAGGTAATATTTCTATAAAATTTTTTACTGCATTATACCAGCCAAGCTATCAAATATCTTTTAACTTTTTCAAATGTAGCTCCAGGCAATCAAGAATTTTTTGATATTCTTGAAAACATGTATTCGTAGAGAAGAATTCTTGTAAAATTTATATGTCTTTTAAATAGACTTAGCATTAATAAAGCAATTAAATTGCTTTTGTGTATTTTTACATGCTAATGCTAAATGATGTGTAGGGTTTCTCAAAATCAAATCAAATCAAATATTAGGCTTATTTGAATTTGATTTGATTTAAAAATCTGGATTTGA